AGGAAAGGAAAGAGTGTTATGTGAGCCATACTGAGGACTACAGCCTGAGAGACACAGGTTCAAGGGGCACTTGAATCATGTTCCGCAGGCTGCAAAATGGGGAAGGCTTGTAAAGGCAAAATCCACAAAATTCCTGAAGTTGTTTGTCAGGAATTAGGATTGGAGCTGCAAGAAGTAAGGGTGCTGCTTAAGCATGATTGGTTGGGGTCTGAAATGGTAGCATAGTTACAAGGAGAGACTTGAGACCTAAGGTTGTGGGTGGCAGCTGCTGGCAGATACTGTTTTGAGAATGGCCGGTGGTGTCATTGAGTCTGATAGGGTCCCGAATTCAAGTTTTCAGGGATGCAGGAATGTGTCTGAAACCACATCCACAGCAGCCACCCGGCTCCATCCTGGATGCCTGAACCACAGTTACTCCATTTTGATTTTTAAATATATCCTTTTCTTTAACGTTAAAGCAGTTATACAATGTGGTCTTCAGCAGGCCTTAAGACAGGCTGCTCTAGGTGAATGGATAAAGATGTGATATATATGCATATGTGATATATATGCGATACACACACACACACACAATGGAATACTACTCAGCCATAAAAAAGAATAAAATAATGTCCTTTGCAGCAACATGGATGGACCTAGAGATTATCATGCTAAATGGAGTACATCAGAAAGAGAAAGACAAATACTATATGCTATCACCTATATGTGAAATCTAAAATATGACACAAATGAACTTTACAAAACAGAAACAGACACACAGACATAGAAAACAGACTTGTGGTTGCCAAGGGGGAGGCGGGTAAAGGAGGGGTGGATTGGGTTTGGGATTAACAGATGCAAACTATTATATACAGGATGGATAAACAACAAGGTCCTACTGTATAGCACAGGGAACTATATTCAATATCCTGTGATAAACCATAATGAAAAGAATATGAAAAAGCATATATGTGTGTATAACTGAGTCTCTTTGCTGCACAGCAGAGATTAACACAACAATGTAAATCAACTATGCTTCAATAAAATAAAATTTTTAGAAAGACAGAGGCTACACGTGAGTGCGGCTAACATGGCAGCAGTGAGCACACCATGATTTGCCCCCAGAAGGACTTGCCAGGCCTCCTCTCTGCACCCGTCAAGTCCACCAACTTCCAGAAGCCTTCCCAACCAGTGGATCCCGTGGGGCTTTCTCACCTCTCTGACGTCCTGTAGCCCTGATCTCCTTAGCAGCCCTTCGTGTAGTGAGTGCTGAGTGAATGTCAATAATGAGTGTAATTATTGTTATTAATATTATTAAATGACTGTTATTCCCTTTGCCCTCCTGGAGCACAGGGACATGTATCTTAAAAAACAATCAAACAAAAAAAAGACGGGCTGCTCTGACCAGCACAAAGTTCAAGCCAAATCACACATGAGCCAGAGCGACTTCCCCAAACCTCCATACGTGGAAGTTTCTTCCATCAGCTTTTCAAAGAGCCCACCGTGTACG